GATAGTTTATTTCATCACATACATACATACATACATATATCTCATATCTGTGGTCTGATTAAAAAATGCGTAAGCTCAAAGTCAAGGTTTAATAATTGCATGCCGCTAATGAGGGAGATAAAAATATGAGGTGACAATTAGGGTTGTCACTCATACTGAAATAATTATTGATTAACTATATATTATAGTATAGTAAAGTTTAGTTACATACATACATATATACATACATATCTGTCACGCCTGTCTCCCATTAGGGTAGGCAGAAACAATGGAACGCCAAATGCTTCGATTTAAACAAACCTCTTTCGCTTCCTCCACATTCATCAATCTTTTCATACACGCTCGCCGGTTACGGGTACTTTTAATTTGGCCCTTCTTCAGCACGTCGCCTGTTTGGTCGACATACGTCCGTCTAGGGCGGCCCCTACCGACATCTCCATTCATTCTTGCTTGATTAATTTTTTTTTTAATGTTTAGATCAAGTTTTAAATATCGCTAAAAAGTATTTTGTTTAATAAAGTTTTTATACATTAAAAAAAATATTGCTATACTTGAAAATGAAGAGATATATAACTGCTTAAAGAACCTCTAAGAATAATGAGGGAGATGAACAAAACAACAAAACTGAGGGAGACTTTGTACAAAAGTCGATTGTTTGGCTGCCTCTGTTCCATTCGTGTTTCTACCGTGAAGCAGTTGTGTTTGCATGGCTGTGTTTCGGTTTGAAGGGTGGGATATGGCGTGAATTTACAGGGTACAGAGGAATAACACCTGAGTCTTCAGGAATGGCAACGCATGGGGGTATCATGGGCGAAACAGTTTACTCTGTTATGTCCATGGTACTGCTCATGTCTATAGGCAAAGGTTACCACTTTCCATCAGGTGGGCCGTCAGCTTGTTTGCCAAGTTTCTAAGTTGTATAAAAAAAATGAATATAAATCCAAGTACATTAGACTACGCATTGCATCTAAAATATAAAAAATAGTAATTTTCTTCAGCAAATTATTGCTGTTTTCATAAAGTCCTTAATACACTTACATATATATTACATATCTAAAGATTTTTTTTTATTTTAATAGCCTGGTAATAAATAATTGTATATTATAATATATATATATATATATATATATATATATATATATATATATATATATATATATATATTACTCGTATATTGGTTGTTTGCTAATACTCATATAAAGGTGGGACATTAATAAATTTTATTTAAATATCAAAGTTGACAACCCTATTGAATACATAGATACAAAAATATCGATGAACTGGCTTATCAATTCTTAATATCGATCATACTTATTATAAAACTATCATCTAATCTATACTTATAATAAATCTGTAGAGAGGTCAATTCTGTACATGAAATATATTTCCAAAATAACTATCAGCGGGTGATTAGTGATCGATACTGATGCCAAAAATGCAATCAGTAAAATTTTTATCTGTCTGTTAACTACTTGACGGATTTTAACGAAACTTGGCACAATTATTCTTCATACTCCTGAGCAGGTTATAGTATACTTTTCATCACGCTACGATCAATAGGAGCAGAGCAGTGAAGGGAAATGTTGGGAAAACGGGAGAAGTTACTCCATTTTTAAGCTTCCGTCGCGTGTGCAGCTTTAACGGCCACTTTTTAAAATGTAAAAATGTTCACCCGTGCGACACCGGGACGGGCCGCTAGTTCTGAATAAACATATGCAAATCTACCATGTTCAAAAGAGCTCAACCTTTGTCCAATGTTAAGGAAGTACTGATAATGGCTGGCGATGGCCTCCAATTGGTCACAAGTTCAATTCCGTTCGCGTGACTATTCAGAACTGTTGAAATTAATGGAGCATGTCGTTTCTGAGATGTACGATTAGAGGAACAATTAGAAACATTCGAGTAAACTTAATTATATTATAATTTCTTTATAGATTTTTTTTTTAATATAAATCTAGTGTCCAATTTGGAATACGAGTTGCTTTATTTAAATAACAGATTAAATTTGACACAACTATGTGTATATATGTATGTATGTGTATATATGTATGTGTATGTATGTGTGTATACATATATGTATATATATATATATATATATATATATATATAATTATTTATAATTTATGTAAATATTTATTTTAATTTCTGTCTTGCACTACTACTGGCCACTCACTACTTCCTATGCCACTGCGTTAGGTTGACTGGAAGAGATCTCTTTTAGAGATAAGTTCGCCATTGCTAACATTGTTATTAACTTATCGTTGTTACTGTATGTTTTAGTGCATTAAAGAATATATATAAAAAAATAATAATAATAAAAAAAGAATTTTCCAAAACGTTTTACAACTAACAGTGTTATGAAGTAACAAATATAAAAATAAATGCAACAAAATTCAGAACTTGCTGTTTTTTGAAGTCGTTTGAAAATGTATATAATTCATTCCTGTTATATAATCCTTGTATATGTTGCAGTTTACCAGAGGGAGACTTTGTACGAAAAGTCGATTGCTTTGTACCTCTGTCGATAATTCGTGTTTCAACCGTGAAGCAGTTGTGTTTGCATGGCTGTGTTTCGGTTTGAAGGGTGGGATATGGCGTGAATTTACTGGGTACAGAGGAATATCACCTGAGTCCTTAGGAATGGCAACGCATGGGGGGTATCATGGGCGAAACAGTATACTCTGTTATGTCCATGGTACTGCTCATGTCTATAGGCGACGGTTACCACTTTCCATCAGGTGGGCCGTCAGCTTGTTTGCCATTCTAAGTTCTATAAAAAAAAAAAGTCAAAAATCTTAACCAGTCAAAAGTACTATTGACTAGCGAAATCAGTCAAAAGTACTTCTGACCGTATGCTTTAGTCAATAATACTTTTGACTGAAATAACAGTTAGAAGTACATTTGACTAAGCGATTCCGTCAAAAGTGGTTTTGACTGCTTGTATCAGTCAGAAATCTTAAAAAGTCCTAACCTAACCTAATTTACTTAAATTAGGTTAGTATGCTTTTTATGTATTGATTGTAATGCCAAATTTTTCGTAATAAAAGATTTCACATTTAATCAATATCTCTTTTTTTTCATCTAACGAGTTAATAGTACTTTTAACTGATGCTTTTTGCAGTTAAAACTACTTCTAACGAAGAGCGTCAGTCAATAGTGCTTTTGACTGGTTTTATTTATTTATTTATTTATTAAACACTTTATTGCACCAACATAACAGGATTTGTTGAACAATTTTCAATAAGTATAGTGTAGTACAAAAGGCGGTCTTATTGCTAAGCAATCTCTTCCAGACAACCTTTGGGTGGAAGGAATTAAAGCATAAGTAGGTAGGTGGCACGTTAGAAGAAATAGATCTGTAAAAAAAAAATATCTGTGACAGCATAGTCACATACACATACATAAATAAACACATACAACCAAATATATTTGACTGCAACATATACATTAATACCTTATGTTAAGAGCTAACACCTACAAATTTTACATAAGCCAAGCAACCGTGAGCCAGCGGTTTTGACCTACTTGTTAATACTTTAACATATGAACATACAACGCCTATTATATTCACTACCTAGTACCACAATGGATTAATAATTGCTTAGCTTCTTGGTATAATATCTTATTAATAAATAATATGTGTAATTTAAATGTTTGTCCGTATGTTTGTTATTTAATAAATACGCACACTTGAACAGCTGTGCATATTTCTATGTAATTTAGTTCTAGGTAAAGAGTGAACGAGAAAAGAACATTAATTAAAATAATAGAGAATAGAAGAGGCAAAATGCTGAGCCACCTTATACAGACTTGACGATTTTTTTAAAAGCATAGTAGAAGGAAAAATAGAGGGCAAAAGAGGAAGGGGAAGACCGGGGAATAACTACATGGGACAGATAAAAGAAACACTAGGTGTCATGTCGTATAGGGAGGTCGAGGATATGGCCCGAGATAGAGCTGGCTGGAAGAAGACGCATGAATTAGTTGCACCGACAAGAGGAAACTCTTAAATGAAAAGAAGATATAGGTAATAATTTATGTATGTATATGTATATGACTATCCTGTCACAGATATTATTTTTTACAAATCTATCTTTTTTAACGAGCCACCTACCTACTTATGCTTTAATTCCTTCCACCCAAAGGTTGTCTGGAAGAGATTGCTTGGCAATAAGACCGCCTTTTGTACTACACTATACGTATTGAAAATTGTTTCAACAAATCATGTTATGTTGGTGCAATAAAGTGTTAAATAAATAAATAAAATAAATAAATAAATAAATTGTCCGTAATTGTCCGATTATGTTTATTATAAACAAGTAGCTACAACCGGCGGTTTTGATTATGTAAATTATAATAAACGTAGATAAATTTTATTTTTTATACTTATATTAATACGTGAAGCAGAAACATTGCACCCCTTTCTGCGAAAATTGCGCGGACAGAGAAGTATGAAATCTGGCACACTTGTAGTTTATATAGAGAAGGAGTGCAGTATGCATTTTTTTTAAATTATACATAAAAATACATTAAATAAAACAATTTTTATAAAAAAAAAAAAAAAAAAAAAAAAAAACATTACACATACACGCATATATACTATTTTTTTTTATTGGTAGTCTGTGGTCAAATTGAAAATAGATTAATATGATTTGTCTTTAATATTATGAATTTACTGGAATTGAATTTACAGCAGTTGTGTTTGCATGGCTGTGTTTCGGTTTGAAGGGTGGGATATGACTGTGAATTTACTGGGTACAGAGGAATAACACCTGAGTCCTCAGGAATGGCAACGCATGGGGGGTATCATGGGTGAAACACTATACTCTGTTATGTCCATGGTACTGCTCATGTGTATAGGCGACGGTTACCACTTTCCATCAGGTGGGCCGACAGCTTGTATGCCATTCTAAGTTGTATAAATTAAAAAAAAGAAACCGAGTTGGCATGCAGAATGCGTTCAGTTTCTGAATTGTTTACCATATTGTTGTTTGTTGCAGATTTCCTGATACCATGCAGTAGATAATTGTAAGTATAGATTTTTCCTTATGGATCGAATATAAAATGATTTAATATTGATCGTTAGTTGTTATGCAACTTAGAATGGCAAACAAGCTGATGATTCAATATATATCAATATAGATATATTGTGCAGTAATCGTATGCGCCTGGCAATAGGTACAAACTGGGGGGAAAGGGATTGTTAGTAATGGAGACTGAGAATCCCATTGCTAGCAATATACCCAACCAGGTCGACCTGCTCGCGGTTCCCCCTGGAAACTATCATGGTTAATTACTGATGAATTCATCATGACGGGCTGACTGGCCTGTTTTCATTCTCATCTATCACCCTTCACTGGTGCACCGCCAGCGTATCCCGTTAGCGCAGGCGGGGTTACCATACCATTTTCACCCATTATAAAAAAGAAAAAAATAGGTACAAACTTAGCTTTTGCTGGACTGATGTTCGTTCAGCGCTGATTTTCAGTTTGCATCTACACGGGGCACCGTTTCATTATCAAATATATATATATATGGATATTACATAAAAAGTAAAAGAAAAAAAAACAAAAACTAAAATAAACAGGTATAAAAACAATGAATAAAAGAAAAAAAAAACAGAACAAAACAAGAACACCTGCTGGTAACTGGTAACCATCGCCTATAGACACGAGCAACACACTTTATGATGTCCTTGGTACTCTTCATGTGTTCTCATTACTGAGGACTATGGTGTTATGCCTCCATAACCTGTAAATATCTATAAACCGATTTGGAATTTTTTTGTTTTTATTTTAATGTATATACTTACAGATTGGAATTCATAGATAGATAGATAGATAAACTTTTTATTTGAGCCATTTGTGACACACGTAAATTAACAAATGAGTTCATACAATCAAATTGTTTACCAGAGGGAGGCTTTGTACAAAAGTCGATTGCTTGAGTACCTCTGTCCTTGCATGGCTGTGTTTCGGTTTAAAGGGTGGGATATGACGTGAATTTACTGGGTACACAGGAATAACACCTGAGTTCTCAGGAATGGCAACGCATGGGCGAAACAGTATACTCTATTATGTCCATGTAACTGCTCATGTCTATAGGCGACGGTTACCACTTTCCATTAGGCGGGCCGTCAGCTTGTTTGCCATTCTAAGTTGTATAAAAAAAAAGTTGTATATAAAACAAAAGATAAAATATGAAAATATATTTTCACCATGTGTGTGTCGCAGTGACCCAAATAGGCTACAGCTCAGTGATGGTTTTGCTTTTCAGCGCTGATTTTCAGCTGCTGAATTTACAATTTGAATTGCAATATAAAATTTTGCTGAATCTTAAATTAAAGTTTTTCATATTTATCTAAATTAATTCCGCTCTCTTTATCTTATTGTTGAGTTTTACTAAATGTGTTGTTTTATGGTATATAGTAACACAATAGGTAATTATGTTGCCACTATAAAAAAGCCACAGCGAAATCCAAACCTTAAGATTGCTATCGCACTCAACAGATGGCGCAAAACAGGACAAAATCTACAAAGATCCATTGAGTGTTTTATCTATAATCTTGCACTAGGAAGCCATGCATTCCAAATATGGTGATGCACTTATAATCCTTTATAAGGGTCCATTTGCGTATAACCTCACCATAACGCGCCATCGGCCTTATATGCGTCATAACACAATGTAACGTATCTATCTATGTTATTAAATTAATTAACAGCATTCATAATTTGCCTTACCTTAAGTGTGGCAACGTCGCACTTTTATATGTCAATTTTCAAAAACAATTCAAATCGAAGATTGAAAATATGTTTTTTTTTTATATAGCTTTACCTTTTATATATTTATATAACATTTTAAGTATTCTCTTTATTTTATGTGTTCGCTTTTAATGAATTACTCGAGCTGTGCACATAATGTGACTGGATTATAACCTAGCCGAATCACAAGCTTCAAAAGGGGGGTAAAGAGGTTTCTTCAGGGTCGGCAACGCACGCGTAATACCTCTGGTATTGCAGGTGTTCATAGGCTACGGTAACCACTTACCATCAGGTGGCCGTATGCTTGTTTGCCACTTCAGTGGTATAAAAAAAACTATTATTTAAGTTTTTTATGGTTATGATCTGTTTTCTGTGCCAATAAAATAAAATAAAATAAAATAAAATAAAATAAAATAAATAAATCCATTTAATATCCAGATAATAAGATCTATTTTTTGTTAATAATAGACTTAAAATTACGTTAGTAAAAAAGGTTATGATTTAATAAAACATATATATTAGAGTTTAATTAATCATATATTCGTTGTATCGGTCCCGGCATAGAATAGGCCACCCCTTCCTTTCCCGTGGGTGTCGTAAAAGTCGGCTAAGGGACGGCGAAGGATGAGTAGCAGCGTCCCTCTTGAAGTATCCCCAGAGGCCTAACTGCGGTTGCCAACCTTACCAAAGGTGGCAACTAATAGCAAAACTCCCCTTATAGGGAAGGCTTATGTCCAGCAGTGGACAGTTAACGGAAATAATGAAGTCATATACCCGAGAGGCATTCGGTCAGAACGCAACAAACTAGGGCATGGTTATTTCGTATTGTAGTCTCCGTCTTGATGGAATGCCCTATCACAGGTGCATGGACTGCCTCATGATGATGATGATCATGCTATGATGAAGCCATAAGACGTATAAAAAAAATTAAAAGGCTCTCACCTATCATATCTTGACGCGTAATGATGCGTTCATGTTTATGCATACAGCACAATATTGTGTAGGTCGTTGGTACGTCCGGCCGCCTGATTCGAACTTATGACGCGCTCCGCTCAGCCAAGTAGCCGCTTCCTGCCGTCAACTTGTAGGGTTGACACACGATTTATATATATATATATATATATATATATATATATATATATATATATATATATATATATATATATATATATATGGATTTTTAATCCTTATTAAAATTACAAATTTGAATCTTACTTTATTTGTTACCTCAAAGCCTTAACGGTTTAACCTGGTGTTTCCCAACGTGGGGCCCATACCCCACAGGGGGGCAATTTGATAGTTAAGGGGGCAATTAAAAATGGTCTCGAAGTTATTTGAATCCTCTTGCTTCGGGCCATTTAAATGCAATGCTACGAGTAGATATCATCGGTGCCAAATTTAACAAAAAAAAAAGCAAATTATTATCATTGTCATCATTGTCTGTCAATATTTATTATGTATAATTTCGTTTGACGTTACCAAAATATCAACTGGGCGATTAAAGTCGTCAAGTAAACTTTGGAAAAATTATGTATGAGGACATAAAAATTTTAGAAATGTTTAAGTGGGGCATGGCACAAAAAAGGTTGGGAAACATTGGTTTAACCAATCAGTATGAAATTTAGTATAGATGTAGTACGAGGGTCATTTGAAAAGTTCTTAGCCTAACATGGTTAAAGTCATTGGTTTTTTTATAACTATCCTCATTTTGTAGTTACATTATTTAGCAACAAGTATGCACAGTTTAGTTTATTCACAGTAACTCATTGTTCGTTTACACGTGATACTTGGCAGGTGGATTGGCAACCGCAGTCAGCTTTAGAGATGTTTTTAAAGGGACACTGCTGTCTATCCCTCATCTTACTTTAGTCGCCTCTTACGACGCCCACGGGAAAGGAAGGGGTGGCCTATTCTATGCCGGGACCACACGGCCAATTAATTAGAGGTAATGTATATTAATAATATGTATGATAATATATGAACGCAATTATAATTTTAAATGATCGCATCCTTAAGTGGATAATAATAATGATACATACATACATACATGCATATCTGTCACGCCTGTCTCCCATTAGGGTAGGCAGAAACAATGGAACGCCAAATGCTTCGATTCAAACAAACCTCTTTCGCTTCTTCCACATTCATCAATCTTTTCATACACGCTCGCCGGTCACGGGTACTTAATAATTATGATTAATTTCGTAAACCTTTTATAGACTCCCGTGATACAGTTTCACCTAGTATAATCATATTTATTATGTATATATAATAAATAAATAAATATTTGACAATAACGAAGTCGAAGATAAAACTTATATTAAAGATTATTTTAATTTTACCATAGCTGGCAACCCTATTGGACTGTCAACCCTTGACACAACCGCATCAAACAATACATCGTTGTGACCATTTACAGAACCGTTACACCATCACCTCGTGTGTGTCTGTCTGTCACTTATAAAGTGATTTGTATATAGATATGTGTATAGTTAATTATATATATATATATATATATATATATATATATATATATATATATATATATATATATATATATATATATATATATATATATATATATATATATATATATTTGAATGAATGAATGAATGAATATTATAACTTGAAGAACCATTCACCATATCAACTGTCTATTGCTAAATATAGACTTCTCTCAAAGAGGGGTTTTTACCAGGCTTTGGTGATGTCTTAAGAAGGACATTTCTGCCTATTGCTCGATCAGTAAATTTCCTTAGTGGCCTCTTACGACACCCACGGAAAAGGAAGGGATGGCCTATTCTATATCAAGACCATACGATGACATACTCGAAAAACATACCTATGTGTTTCTAGTCTTTAATATCTTAAAAACAAAATAGTATGGGTCTTAAAGACCAATATAGTCCTAATAAAAAAAAAAATTATAAGTTTAGTCTGTCTATATGTTTGTTTCGGTATTATTCAAAAACTTGGACGCTGTTTTTTCTGTTGTTTCTGCAGGTCTAACTTAAAAAGTTGTGTGTTTTTATTATCTTAATACGTTACCTAGACGAAGATCATTTGGTTTCTTGATTTTAAAATCCTTTTGTACGAATTAGTGGACAAAAAGTTAGTAAGAAATAAAATATCTCGGACACCAGCAGAGTTATTATGAACGTTCTCAATCAAATTAATCATGCGCGCTTGGAGTGCGCGGGGCGACGCGTGGCGCTGCGCCCGCGCAGTGACTCGTTCGACAGCCGGCCGACACAGACCTTGATCGCA